TATAATAGTGGACAAAAGACCCCTGGGCTCCTTGTGTTTAAATTAGCACCGATCTGCACCCGACTGTCTCCAACACCAGTCTTCCTGGTGACCCCACCTTTGGCACTCTGGCTGGAAATCTTTCTGTTTTCGTGAGGCTTCCTACACTGGCTAAGCAAACTGCACACCTAAACGCTATGACGTGTGGCGATGTCAGCCTGGGAATGGCACGGTTAAATTGTAAGTGCCCCAGTGTGGGCTTGCCTTTCTGTGTGTCTTTCCCCATCCCCCTGCCCTAGCTGGCTGCCTGCAGATGTTTCAGTGAAAGTGGTAGAGGTGTATAAAAATGCATTGATGGGGTTTCACGGTAAGCATGTGTTTAAAAACAAAAGAAAACAACGGGAGGGAAAGGAGAGAGTGTGGCCGCAGCTAAGGAGGGTTTCACATGTTGTTTAGCTCCAGTAACGTCTGATCCAGCATCTGGTGCATACTAAGGTTTTCTTCTTTGGCATGAGCCACTTTCTCTGCGATGGGATTAGAAAATTAGGTCATGAGTAGCTGCGCTTCCGACTCGGTAGTGGTTTGTACATTTAGTAAGCAATCAGTCACACACAGAGAAGATGAGTAGCACTCCACATGCTTTAGACACTACTCATGTCCAGACAAGGCCCCGGTGCACCCACACCAGCAATCCACCCTGACGCAGAGTGCAGGGCGTACTTGGTGAAGGCTCACCCACTGCGTGCTATGGGAATTAAGGGAATGGCAAAACCAAAAACAGGTACAGCATTGTTACACAAACTCAAGATATTAACACCAGCGTCGGATTCTGAGTTACAGGCAGTTAGAGGAGCTGGTAGCTGTGTCAGCACACAACCTCACAGGAAATAAAGATGACATTAAGTAGGTGTCTGACCATTTTTTTTAAACAGGGTTTATTTCTAATGCTCACACATGGTTATCGACACATCTCATGCACACTTCATTAGGACATTCTCTTAGTACTTTTATAGTATTCCACTTATTAGCATGACACACTCATCAGATCCCAACACCGACAAACTTAACGAAGCCTACCTTTCAACCAGGGATGTCTCCTATGAGCGCCTGTTCTCAAAAGCTAGTTTGCCCAAGCATAGGTACATTGAATCACATTCCAAGCACTATGCACATTATGAGGACATTAGGAATACAAATTTGCGATAGGTATTTAAAGCAGGACTCACAGCTGCTTAGAGGAAATAGAATAAAAACTTTTTTTTTTGTCCTCATCAGTGAGTTCAAAGAGGACCTGCGGCTGCAGGAAGAGCTGAGTTGACCAGTATAAATATTTTCACATACACATGATACATCGTAAAAACTTCTCGGTTTATGAGATTTTAATCAAGCTATACAGAGAAAAAGGCAGGCAAGCCTGGCCTTCTAGCCAATGCCTTTCCTTCCCATTTCAGCAGAAAGCGATCATTTTCGAGCCCATGAGCCATAGATTTCCTGAACATGGGCTCCATTCCTAGAACTTGGCCCAAGTTTTTAATCCTCATTCAGGGCCAGCTTTAGTTCGTTAGTTAGGCGGCGGTTTTGCTCAAGTTGATGGTAGAGTTGGTCTAGACAGGCCAGCAAGGGTTAGCAGAAAAGAAGAGGCAGAAGGAAGAGGTTAGCGAGAGTCAGTGACAGGCAGTTTACAAACTAGAAAATACAGATGCACAGGACAGCAACCGTGTACCCTGGCACTAAGGCCCTGTGCCCTGAGCCTTGCCAGGGTACATGGCAAAGCCTGGCAGAATAAAAGGAAGGGCTGGAATCAGTCCTGACATGGAGCAGAGGCAAAGAGGTGCAGGATACATGGAGGAACCAACGCTCCTTTTGTACCTCATTAAAGCCACCCTGTGCACTGAGTTTCATGCAGTTTGTGACAACAGATTCTAGGGCCGAGGCCAGCCCTGCCACTCATGCCTTGCTGGAGCTCAGCAGAGATTACAGGTGAGCTCCTGACCAGCCCACAGCTGCCCACTTTTCCTGAACCCTGTCCCCTCTGTTCAGAGTGCAGTGTAGTGAGCTGGTACCCCCCCCAGGCCCCAGACAAGTTCTGAAGTCTCCCTCGACTTCAATAGTGTGTTACCCACAGCAAACAAGTATTTAAGCCCACTCCACACTGACTTGGAACTTATCTGCATGTGTGCTTCAAGAGAACAACATTCACGCTGGGCGCTTGATGGCATGTATAAAATAAATAAAACTAGGCCAAGAAGGCAACTTAGCCCATAAAGGTGCCTGTTGCAGAACCCTATGACAAGTTTGATCCCCAGGTTCCACACAGGGGAAGGTAAACACCAGTCCTACAAGTTGCCCTCTGACTTCACGTGGCGCCCCCACCCCCCACCCCAAGCCCTCTCAAACATCTACACTTGGTTACTGTGATACAAACTTTATGTACCACCATGCCATCCATTTGGGTGGCAAAGCGGCTCACCACCGGACTCTGCCTGTGTCTGAGGATCCAGGGGACACCCGGTGACAGGTAAGGGACTAGGAGAAGTGGCATGTGTAACTGCTTTGAATGACGCTGGCTCCGCAGAGCTGGACATTCTAACTTGAGGATCTAGGAGAGCTCCCGAGCTCCCGCCTCGTGGTCAACCGCAGCACGAATGCTGGGAAGTGGGGTGCTCCTGTCAACTGTCCCTCGTAAATGGCAGGAGGTAGGGGAAGTTGCTATGGTCCTTATGTTTGCTGTGAACTATGAAGAACTCTGATCAACTCGTGCCTTTTTCTCTTACATTCAAAACTTCAGTTAAGCTCTCACCTCCTCCAGGCAACGCCCAGTGAGACTTCTTGCTCTCTGTTGGCTCAAAACACATAATGCCAACCAGTATAGACTAACCTCATTCCTCTGTTCCCACACACGGCCAGCTTATACAGGACAAAGAGCACGCCCAGCTCAACCCTTCTCACACCCCTGCTACCTCCCAGTGTCTTCCATATACTTAGAGGTTGCAAAATAGAAACCCCATTACTACATCCACATCACCACCATGGAAAACTGCCACTGGGAGCAGCGGCAAAATGTCCCATTTGTGGAGGCCAAATGTTTAGCCATTGGACTAGAAGACATGGGAGAATCCAGACGCCTACCAGGAGTTCAGTGGTAGTGCTCCCCACGCTCCCTGTCTCAACCCATGGTGGGCCTCGTTCCTTCTAGCTGCTAGGGAGCCAATAGATGACCTGAGGACAGGGGCCAGACACATTTGTAAATGTTCGCCCTCCTGTTCTGCACAGACCCCCGTTGTCTCAGAGCTGGCAATGCTGTTGGTCTGGTCCAACTGAGGCTCTTGGAAGAGTTGCTGATACAGGCTGGCTGCTGCTCAACAAGAAGCCTGCTAGCCAGATTCTTGGTAAACTCAGCTTGCTGCCTATGCTTTACCACACACCTCAGGCTGCTTGGGATATGCCTTCATGATCCTCGTCCTCATTTCCCTTGCAGTGAACACTCATAGGAAAAGTGAGAAATCTCTGGGAGAGCCAAGAAACGTGTACCCCAAGATGCAGGAACGACAGCTAGGCCGAACTCCAAGCATCATGTTTCTACTGAGGCAGAATCACTCAGAGAGAGGGCACTGCCATTACTCTGAACTTTAAAAAGAACAAGGTACCTAAATCATGGTAAAAGGTGGGCCTAAGGAGCCTTAGGGAAAGAAAAAACAGAAAACTGTAGAAGCCTTTGCATCCTTCAGCAGAGAGACACTGCCTGGATCCTAAAATTAGTCTGTCATGCCATTAACTAAAATATTTTAATTCAAACCTTTTGTTTTAAAAAAAAAAAATTCTCCCTGCCTTGAAGACTTCAGAGTAAATGGCTATTTTCAGAGCTTGCCTAAATTTACTTGAGAAGAGCGGTATGCCAGCCCTATTAGGCTAACGAATACCAATCATGAGACAGATGAGGGTTACTCAGGCTTAAAACACAAGAGAACTGAGCCAGGCTGATGTTCAGAACTAAGAAGCTGGAGGCTGCAGTATTCTGAAGTCCTAATTCTGAAATAAATGTCATTAAACTGCTGTTTGTGGCTGAAGCATTGCTTCTTGGGGGGAGAGGGGCGATCAACGGCAGTGGTCCATAAATGAGGTGGGAGGGCTTGCTTATGTCAGCACACCTGCAGAATACACGATGTGCTGAAGAACACAAGAACAAGCCATGACTCAAAAATAATACGATTTAGAATTCCTATGATGTCATGTTTGTGTTCAAAATGAAGGTATTTGTATAATGAATAGACTGAAAGAAAAAAAAAAAAAAGCTTCAATCCACCTCTGTCTATAAGGGCAACGAGTAACAACCACGGCTTATAATGCTAGAATCCCAGTTCTTCACAAGATGCAAACTCTCCAGCTATGTGTAGGACAGGGTGGCTACAAAGACTTCCATCACTTAGCCAGGGAGAGCCATCTCTGTATCGACACAGACAGGAGCCACACCCCAAACTACACTTGTGGTAGAGGAAAATGTTGCTCAAGCCAGGATTTGACTCCCACTATCTACTCTGTGTAGGTTCTGAATCCAGACTGCCTATCAGAACCATCACAGTTCCTCAAACTGTGGGTGCCCATGCCTCACTCCAGCGCCTGGAAACCACAGTGCAGAGGGACACAGGCACGGGTGGTATTTCAAAAAGTTGTACAAGGAACTACTACTCTAAAAACTCCTGGTGTTGGCATATAATGTTAAAAAAAAAAGTACCCTGAGATGCAGGAAGCAGAACTGTAGTTTTATTCAGTGTTGAGATGAAAATGTCAATAAATATGGAGCAAAAGAATAGCAAACAGGAAGAGCTTACAGTGTTTATTTTATACTGGGCGAATTGCTTCTGTACAATAGAAAGCACAGTCTGTGCCTGGCCCTAAGGTGGGCGCTAAAAGGAAACCTGGGTCAGCTGGAGAACAGACAGATGCAGAGCTCAGAAAACAGGGACATCCAGCTTGATGAAGGACTCTTGGGAGGAGTGAAGCAAAGAAACTTATCTGCGTGAAACAAAAGGTAAGAGAAAGAGAAAAAGTGGTACAATGGAAAAGGGAAAAAGAAAGAAAGAAAACCAAACAGGCGACAGCAGTATTTAAAAATGCAAGCAAGAATTAGCACACGTAAATCCCACTGCCAGGTGCAGCTAGGGGAGGCCATCCTTGGCAACTACTGCCTGGACCCAAGGCTGTCGTGGGCCATCCTTGAGGAAGATCCGTAAACACAACTTAAAAACAAATTTTAAGCTAAGCCCTCCTTTGGGGCCAATTCATCACACTCAAGGGTTCTCCCCAAGGAGTGACATATTTTAGCACTCCGGAGGGGGAGGGGTGTGCTATAGATAACCTGTTTCACTCTTTTTTTACTAATGGCAGAGAAGAGGCCCGCCCTTGTTTCTATGGTGACAGCCAGGTTTCCACAGGATGTTCAGGAACCTCCAAGGCAGCAGGCACAAGCCACTCTCCTAAAGCTACTATGTTTCTGAATGGTTAAAGATGGTTAAATCCGGCTCTGAGGGATCCCAGCAGGATGAGAATGGAGAACCCCCCTAGTGAAACTCTCCAGGGGTTAGAAGCACAAGCCGCACGAGTGTGGTTAGTAATGTGTAAATTAGCTGTATAAGTCTGGGGGTCCCCAAACAAGGCCAACTACTACTGCCTCACAATAGTAAGACTGGACCATTAACTTCCAAACTCATCTTGTATGAATGTTTTATTTCTTGCTTCTCTGATGGAGGCTGTGGCAAGCATTTACTGTGAAGTATTTTAATTCCATTCAATATAAACATAAAAAAAAAAAAAAAAAAAAAAGGCTTGATTCCACAGGAGACCATTCATTTTTACTCTGAAATTAGTTCCTTCCTTCCTTCCTTCCTTCCGTCCTTCCTTCCTTCCTTCCTTCCTTCCTTCCTTCCTTCCTTCCTTCCCCTTCCCTTTCCTTTTCTTTCCTTTCCGGCAGGGTCTCACTATATAGCCCTGGCTGGCCTCAAATTCACAGATATACCTGCCTCTGCTTTCCACCTGCTGGGAGAAAAGGCATGCACTACCATGCCCAGCCCTGCTCTGGAATTTGTAACATAAGGGAGAGATGCATACTGGGTCATGCCCATTTCCCCTGCCTCAGATCCTCAATCATCTAACACTTTAAACTTAGAGTTCTAACTGAAAATGCCCATGTTGTACTTCACAGAATCCCAGGAAACAACCTGGTATTAATTCCTAACTTCCTCCACCACTGCATCATGGCCTTCTAGTTTTACCTGAGTCTGGTTTAGGGTTCTAAAAGGACAGTACTCAGAGCCATTCAGAGTCCAGTTCATCTCTCGGCAGAAACAAGCTAGCACTTATGAAATAAAAGGATTCTGAAATAGTTTGCATGGACTGAACCCACTTGGCCTTTGTTAGTACAATGTGAAAAAGACCATGGCTATCCTGGGTTATGCAAGAGAGCAAACAAAATGTGCAGAAATGGAGACCATGGGCTGAGAGGGGAGTCACAGTGAGTTCACCACACAAGCATGAGGGCGAGGGTGCGAGCAGGCATGAACATTTACATGGAAGTCATATCGTTGAGAGCGTGGTCCAGCTCCTCGCTGATGGCCTTGTACTTCAGTTTCTGAGCATACAGCTCGTCTATGAGCAGGAAGTGGGAGCAGAAGTGCAAGGACATGGAGAATGGTCAAGAGATGGAGGGTGAGCAAGGGTGGCGTGGGCGCCATCCCGACACGTCAGCAAGGAAAAGGCAATGCATGAAGGGGTTGGTGCCGCAGCAGGTGGCCAATGCAGGAGGCGTGCGATTTTTTTTTTTTTTTAAAGAAATTGAAACAAAAACAAAGAGAACAAAAACCCATTAGAAAATAAAATAAGAAAGAGCCAATATGAAAAACACAACACCAAGGGTAGGTAATACCAATGAGCTATTAAATCCTAAAGACAGCCACGGAAGACTGTCTCTCCTGATGAGTAATGGAACGTCTCTCCTTTTACAGAGCTGCCATTAATTACACTGGAGTAGTCAGCTACCTGCTGCCATAAGCTACAGGGGGAAATATCCAGAGGCAGCGAGTTCAGTTAGCAATGACAGTCTCTAATGCTACCTTTAAGGCATTCACTTTCTGTCCGAGCCAGACCAGGGGATATTGGTTCCTTGGTGGCACTTAAACTATTCCCATGGTCCTGCCCCTCAAACCACCTGTGGCTAGGACCAAAGGCTTGAAAAGCAAAGGCAGCCATGGTCTGGAGCTATCACTGTGGCTTGTCTGCAGTGTAATTTTTTCTTTTTCTTTTTTTAAATGGTGGTGTTTCTGTTTTACCATACACTGCAGGCTCACACCCACATGCCATTCTCTCTTCTCTCTGCTTTTTGCTTTTTGTTATTTGTTTTTATTTTTTCTTTTTCCCAGATAGGGTCCCATGGGCTGGCTTAGAACTTGCCACACAGCCCAGCCTGGCCTCAAACTCACCAGCCTTTGCCTCCTGAGTGCTGGGATCAAAGGTACCATGCCTGGCTGCTATCTCGGTAATTAACTGCAGCACCCTCTAGGTCCTCCTTCAAGCCCTTCTGTGATAGATGGTGGTTTTTGTTGTTGTTGTTGTTTGTTTTTGAGTAATGCTTAAGTATAATCTTGAGACTTAACACCCTTTTGATTCCTATCCTCTACCCTTTCAGGATATAGAATATTTTGCTAACGAATGACTTAAAAAAGAAAACCAAACCAAGTCTTTCTACTAGGGTCACACTTGGAAGACGGCTGTGTCTAAAACAAATCCACATTGTTCTGACAATTAGGAGACACGGACAGAGACACAGAACACCAGAGTCACATTCATCTATAATTACTGCACTCAGTGAAAAATCGCCCAGACCCACTTCTGAAATACAAGAAACTAGATGTAAGCTGTCTGGTGGCTTGCTAGTCACCCCAAAAACCGAGGGTTAAGGTCTGAGAGTTTCAGCGTCACACGGGAGAACCCCAGAGGACAGTCGACAGGAAGTGTGAAAACTGAGAGGCATGTCAGGGTGGAAGGCCTCAGATTGGATGACTGCTTTATCAAGACAGTTATATTCAACCACAGAACGGAACTTAAAGCGTTCTTACCTTCTAAGTCATCGATGCTTTTCTCCAATTTAGTTACTGACCTCTCTGCAAACTCAGCCCGAGTCTCAGCCTGTAACGATTTAATTCATTTGAGTCAAGGTCAGGGAGTTCCTGCCCAATAGCTACAGATAGAGGGAAAACCAGAAGCCAAAACTCAAGAGTATGCGTCCCGGGCGATGTCAGGTCCAGCCGTCACTGTGAGCAACGGCAGCTAGCTAACACAGTACATGAGCTCCAAGAACACCTTTTGGACCACACAACCTGTTGCCTGGACTCACTCCACAGAACCACAATCACAATCCAGTCAGTCTCCTCCAGGCTACCCCAGCGTTACCTCCTTCAGCTTGTCAGAGAGAACCTTGATCTCCTCCTCATACTTGTCCTCCTTCTGCGAGTACTGTAATTAGAAAGAGCAGTCCAGATGTCAGGCTCTACACTCACGCCTTCTCGTACAAGGAACGTGCCAGCCCAACCAGCAGATGTTGGGATCTCCTAGCATGTAACAGAACCTCAGGTATCACATGGCACAGTATAATACATTCTCTGCTTCCTTGCCTATTGCTTTACATGGGATAAGAGCGAGATAACTTATCCACTTGGCACTTTGTTTAAATTGAATTGGTGATTTACCCAACATAAGATACATTCTCTGCTAATATTTTTAAATTATTATATATTTTTTAAATCATACTATCCAATAACCATTAGGAAATCTTCTCAGGATGTTGCCCCTTGCTAAAATGCCTCCTGTGCTGTTATTTTCACCAACAGTGCCTCTTTTGAGCAGCTCTTAAAAAAAAAGATGTCATCCCCACTCCATGCTCCTGGCCTACCTTCTCAGCCTGAGCCTCCAGTGACTTCAAGTTGTTCGTCACCGTTTTCAATTCTTCTTCAAGCTCGGCACATTTGCTAATGTTTTCGATCAGAAGCAGAAAGGGTGGGAGACAAGCCCAAGGAACGAGAAGAGAAAAAAAAGGAAAGGGATGGGAAAAAATGAAAACGGAGTCATAGAGATGGAGGGCCGCCTTAAAGTAGCCAAACCACCAGGAACGAAGAGCTTGGTTTTGCCACAGCCTCTGTCCTCTGTTAGTGGAGGGGCAGGGGGACAAAAATCCAGCATCTCCAAGGCCTGATAATTTGGCTTCTTGTTGGCCACCCTTCGGAGTATTAATGAAGGGAAAAACAAAGAGCATAAAGGACCAAGAGAAAGCACTTGAAGCAAGATATAAATAGCAGAGGGTGTAGTGAAGGTACAGTCATTACACCAAACCAACCAGTAGGCATTGGAAGCGCAAAGCTGTCTAGGATGCAGTTAAACCTAAAAACCACATGTGAGCCATCAGTACCTTATCCTCTGCAGCCATTAATGCTTTCAAGGTCTGATCCATTATTCTTAATTGTTCTTCCAGCTGTCGAACTTGGCTGTTAGTGGACACAGGAAATGCACAAGGCCATTCACAAAATCAGTGCAGGTAAGGCATGCAGTGCCACACGCATTCACAGACACCCCACACGGCTCCTCCGCGCTCCTCTGCGCTCCTCGCCCGCGGCTCGTCTGCATCACACTGAGCGCGCAGGGAGCTTGGAGCTGAGGTGGGTTAACGTGCAGCTGCCAGAGGCCATGCTGTTCAGTCTCCTGCTCTGAGGCACCCCCGAGCGCGGTGGTGATGGCCCACTTACCCTTCTGAGAGCTCGGCCCGCTCCTCTGCGCGCTCCAGGTCACTCTCAATGATGACGAGCTTACGGGCCACCTGCGGCAGGGCAAGCACAGCAGACACATTGTGGGCTTGGCACACTGGGGGTAGGGGGTGGTTATAGAGAGCGCATCCATTGGCCCTAGGGATTCGTGTCTACGAATGGAATGCTTCTCTTTCCTTAGGGTGAGGACAGGCAGCTCTCACTCAGCACCCCGGCAGAGGGAGACCACGGCCCCTCTTATCGAGGCCGGAATGGTTAGCCCTTCCCAGGTGGAGTCTGGATAATTACACAGCACCCAGGCCAATTCTCGGAATGAGGGAAATATAAAATCCGCAATCTTAAAAATAGCAGGTGATGAGACACGAGGAGGTATTTTAGACTGAAAAGGAAGGGGCTGCCGAGAGCACCAAAAATAAACCCACGGATGCCACCATGCAGAGATTTGTGCTGCACAAGGCAGGATCCAAAGAGATGCCTGCAAAGTCAAATCTACAGTCAGCTACGCAGCCCCAGAGTGGAGGCTCCTCCCTGACAGCTCAAGTCCACCGGGCAGTTTTGGACAGCCGTGATGAAATCCAGAAATGAAACAACAACAACAAACCAACTGGAACCTACAGCCATTCTGTCTGTTATCAGGTCGCTTTCACGTGGACAATGCCAGGGACTACATCACTGCAGAGCCTGTGCTGACAACAGATTTCTACTATCCTGGAGAGGCCACTACAAATCTCCCAAAGAGCTGCATGGTCTGTGTCCGCTACAATGTCTGAACTGGAACACATAAACCACACCAACAGGACAGCTTTCTTCCCTCAAAAAGCCCAGTTCTCCTTCTTCCTGGCTAAAGATGTTTCTGTCCCAGCCTTTAGGGCGTCGGGAGTATCGTTCTGTCCTGCCAGCGCAGACAACTGGCTGGCTTCACCACCGTAAGTTTCTGCAGGTAAAGGAATCCTGCTTCTCAGAGCCACCCACTTCCATCAGGGAAGACAACTGCTACACCCAGGGACCCAGAAAGCATCCAACTCCCCCAAGACCACAGCTGGGATTCTGTAAGGGTCTGGGCCCCAGAAACTGACCTCTTCATACTTGCGGTCAGCATCTTCAGCAATGTGCTTGGCCTCTTTCAGCTGGATTTCCTGAATTTCCATCTTTTCTTCATCCTTTTGGGCTCGGCTCTCAATGACTTTCATGCCTCTGGAAAGAGAAAAGCAGGAAGAGCCAAGATGAAGGGAAGACCAGTGCTGCTGTGGAATATGAGGCTCCATGCACACAGTTAACCAAAATAGAGCAGAGAGCCACTTATTTTCCAAAGCACAGAACAAAACTTTCCAGAAGAGACACTCGTTTCTCTCTGTCCACTGTGAATGAGATCTTTGAGTACCATGAAAACTTCAAGTCACCTAACCTTGAGCAGAAGGTGCTACGTCAGGATCCTGTTTGAATCTGGGAAGCACAGGAATATGGGACGCTAACATGCTTTGTTTGTTAAATGGAAATTCCCCACCTCCTTCAGATTGGAAATGGATGGATAGCTGGGCACGGTGGCATACCATTAATCACTGCACTCAGGAGGCAGAGGCAGGTAGATCTCTGAGTTAGAGGTCAGGCTGGTCAACACAGAGAGTTCTAGGACAGCCAGAGCTACACAGAGAAACCCTGTCTAGGGGCTGAAAACAAAAAGAAAGAAAATGGATGAATAAGTGTTGGGGGCAAGATTGACACCGGATGTTATGGCATGGCGTTATAGTTCAGAAAATGATAACTGATATAGATTTTATACATTTATTTCATAGGCTAACCATAAATGGATTTCATTTAGCAAAATTTAAGGAAGCAGCTTTAGTAGAGCATTTTTTTAAAAGACATTGAATTTTATTTGATGCCTGTTTGCCTGCATGTTTGTATATGCACCATGAATGTGCAGTACCCTCAGACACCAGAAGAGGGCATCATAATAATCTGTTCCTTTTCTTCTAGTCTTGTGTTGTCAGATTGCCTATAAAGTTCATTACCAGGAAGAAGTCATTCACAAGACTACACAAGACACACCAAGACATAAACTAGTCATCTTAAAAAATTTCTGAGCTCTTGGGTAGTAAAGAAAAACTAAGTGGCAGTAAGTATCAGGCTGAAACTTTAGCTCACACGTTTCCTTAGCCCTAAAGTCTGCAGCAACTCTTTATACCTCATGCCAAGGAGCAGAGGTTCGCCTCAAAGTAGTGGTGGAGAAGCAGACCTTCACCCGCCCAGTTTCCAGCAGGAGTGAGGCACACCTGCACTGCTGTGAGCTCATGCTGCTGTGCCATCCCTTACCCAATACAACACTCTCCTCTCGTGGTTTGTATGGCAGAGTACAGAGGGGAAAAAACCTTTCAGGATGCACGGGCTTAGTTATGTGGTGTGACAGTTAAAACTGACGGTTGACTCAACAGGATCTCGAATCACCTAGTGAACAAATCTGCGGACACGCCTGTGAGGAAGCTTCTAGACTGGGCTAGTGAGAGTGACGGGACCCACTCTATCTGGGCAGTCCCATCCCACAGGCCGAGTCCCTGACTACATAAACATGAGGAAGCTAGCTGAGCACCAGCATTCCTTGCTCTCTGCCTCCAGACGGTGGCCTCAGCGTGACCGGCTGCCTCACGTTCCTGTCACGGCCATCTGCCCACCAGAATGGGCTGTACCCCTTTGAACCATGGGCCAAAATAAACCCTTTCTTCCTTAACTTGCCTCTTGTTAGGTGTTCAGTCATGGTAGAAAGAAATACAGCTGGTCTGTGCAAACCATGGTCCCTTTGCCAGGACAAGGCTAGGTCTTTATAAGTCAGGTAGAGCCAGGTTACGGTAGGAGTATGTGCAAGACACAGGAGCACCTGACTGTGCGTACACGTGTTAAATCCGGAACATTTCACTTATGCAAAGTCTATAGCTCTTATCTATGCTTTTTCTTCTACCTGCTTGAAGATCATGGTTCCTTCCCCTAGGTCTGAGACTTCTTGATAAATAAAAATATGTGTGTGTGTATGTATATATAGAAATATATAGGTTTTTTTTTTTTTTTACGTGTATGGGTGCTTTGCCTGCAGGTATAGCTATGAATCACATGCATGCCTGGTGCCCACAGAGGCCAGAAGCCGCCATCAGACACCCTGTAACTCTGTCGGAGTTACAGACATTTGTGAGCTGCCATGTGGGTGCTGGGACTCAGACCGGGTCCTTAGAAGAGCAGCCAGTGCCAAGCACTAAGCCCTCTCTCCAACCCCGCTTGCTGTGTATGTGTGCGTGTGCAGCATGGGTGCACACACAAGGAGCTGGGCCCTGCAGGCTCACCTCTCGCTCTCATCTGCGGCCTTCTCAGCCTCCTCCAGCTTCTGCAGAGCTGTGGCCAGACGCTCCTGAGCGCGGTCCAACTCCTCCTCAACCAGCTGGATGCGTCTGTTCAGAGAAGCCACATCAGCTTCAGCCTAGGTGGAGAGTGAGAGACACTTCAGAGCTGGGGAGAAAGCGAGGGCGGCACCTTCAGGAACTGGCCGGCTCTGAAGTACGGGTTCCAGACAGGAAGTCTGGGCCCTGGTGAAAGCTACCTTCCAGCGTATTACAAGCCCTGAGCAGCTCCAGTCCTCACTATAGGAGCATCACACTTGGAAATACACAAACCTAGAAACAATGCTCAGTGGACAGTGGGTCATTAGCAACACACTGGCTCGCAGGGCGCCTTTCTGCTCTAGAGTCCAGCCTTGCCTTCACCTGCTGGATGCAGGAGCGCTGCCTTTGTGGGCTGGGGGTGTGGAGGGAGACACCAGGTCTTCTCCAGCCACAGAGTCACCAGCAGTTCGATCAGAAGTTGGAATGCTGAGTTTCATCCCGCTGTCCTGTCCTTTCTCTGAGCTGTATTCTCAAAGGAGCCTTAAAAGAAACTAAATGCTTTAAAATCCAGTGGTTTTAAAAATACATACCAGGAAAATAAAAAAAATAAACAAAACAAAAACAAACAAACCAACCAACCCCACACATGAAGATCTAATACAACCTAGAAAATTTTCCCTTGCCCCACCTTTTTAGTAATGTCTTTAGAATAACTGGCCTCACTGGAATGAGGCCAAGATAAATTTCCCAAGGGTTTTTGACCTAAGCTTATCGGAATTTCTTAAAAGTCAAAGTTGCTACAAGAAAAGTTTCACAGGCCCAGGAGAAACTGCAATGCAGATACTCTTTTTATTTGGAATTTAGCTTTGAGTTAAAGTGTTACTTTCTTGGGCAGGCAATGGCTGCTTCCTGTCCTAAGCGCTTTTGCTCTGAGCCTGGGAATACTTGCCTCACTGCTATAGGGGCTGATCCCAGGCTGTCTGGAAGTGAAGGTGGTACTTGCTCATCAGGGACCAAGTATTTATCCTTACCCATCCTGAATCCATGAGCCCGTGGGATATCTAGGCATCAATATTCTAACAATTGCAGTACATGCTTCAGAGCTGCTGGCTTTCTATGTACCTACCTTTACTGGACTGTATGCTGCTTACCGAGGCCTGGGCTCCATAAAGGTCTACTGAGCAAGCACAAACATCCTAACTAGAACAACGAAGACCTTTGAAAGCTCATGAGAAGTGCACATGCAGTTAAAAGAGAGGTGGTCACGGCTCAAGGCCGCGACCCAGGAAATGAGACCATTCAGTTCTGTGTTCATCTAGATCTGTGCCAGTTTTGTCTGGAGAAGGGCATCAAGCAGGCCACCTCCCACCACCAGGAATGACTGCCGTCTTTTTAAAGATATATAAACATTTTAGACACATTTATCTCAAAGAAAAAAAAAAACAAAACACTACAATGTAGTAACTGGCTGCCCTGGGCAGAAGGCTGGGCCAGCGGGAAGTGAACTGGAGGAGGGGCACTTAGAGCTGAGCCAGCCCACAAGGTCAATCATTATCAGAAAACGGCTTGCCGTTGGGCCAAGCTGCGTTGTGAATGACTGCGTTTTCCCTTCAAGGGTGAGGGAAGATAGGAGTAACAATTTCTTAACTACAGAGAACCACCTTTGAACAATTATTCCTTTTTTAAAAGCTTATTTTTTTTTTCATTTTTAAGTTTTATGTGTATCAGTGTTTTGTCTGCATGTACGCGTGTGCACCAACCACGTGTGCGTGCGGTGCTCACGGAAGTCAGGTCTAGAACTGGAATCAGGAGTCACAGATGGTTGTGAGCTGCCCTGGGGGTGCTGGGAACAGAACTTGGGTTCTTTACAAGAGCAGCAAGTGCTTTGAACCTCTGAGTCAGCTCCCCAGCCGCTTTAATTGGAAAATATATACATATTAAGGCTATAGTTTTGGGTCAGGTTAAATTTCTTCATCTTGTATGTGTTCCATTCCTAGGAAGAACTCTATATCCTAATACAAACAGGGAGGTGGGCGTGGAGAGGGAAGGCAATCCTGAAAACCCAAGTCAAGCCCAAATCAGAAAGTCAATTGGGATCAGTGGTTCCAGCCCCCCTTTTCTTTTCTGACACCAGAGTGCAAGGTTCGGGGCACCAATACCCGGTGCCCCAAGGAGACTAACCGACACGAATAGACTCTGACCAGCATCAGGGCCGTTACCGCAAGAAAATCAGACATCAGACAAGTCATCTCATTTTTTAAAAGGCCAAGAAGTGCCTGTGCGGATTTCTCTAGAATGCCTAGGTCATGTTCAAAAGTATCTTTCATTACTATATTTGTAAATATCTCTCACACTCTTCCCTCAACATTTTTTTTAGAACCCTAAACTCTCTGACACTCAGGTTATTTAATGTCCTCCAACAGGACCAGACATAACGTCCTCGCATAGGGTGCCTCCGCAGTAGCTGGGCTTAAGGACTGGTTCCTTTGCTCCAGTTTCGGCAGAGAGATGACTAGCATACACAGTAGCATGACAGAGAACACTTCCAGAGGGTATACTCTGCATAATGAAGTCTACATAACGAAGCCCCATCGTTTGAACTGGAACAGGACCTGGGCATCGCACAGGGGCCACCATGAGCTGGACATATGACCCCGCTGAGAGCCGTGTAATTGAAACACGGCTGGGTCCTGCGCCTAGAGATTAAGATTTGATGTATGTAAATGGTTCCCGCCCCTGCTCCATCGCTCTCCAAAGAAGCCGGGGAGTGTTGCAGGAGCTGCCCAGCAAGCCATGCAAGGCAGAGCTGCAACCCAAGTCCTTTGGCTTCTTAAATATGAGACTGTGGAAGCTTCCGGGTTGGTGGCTCTCACCTCTGCAGTCTTCCTCTCCTAGACAGCAGTATGGAAGGTTCTCACACCCCAAATAACGTAAACGATTGTATGGACAGACCCTGGCTAACACCAGCAGGGCAGTGACCTCAGCGCTTCTAAAGGCAGGGTGCTCACCAGGACACTGCTCACTAACCCTCAAGGATGAGGACTTGAGATGAGTGCCTAGGATTCACTATCAGACCACTTTCTTGGTGGGGAAACTCTGGCTCCATGGGCTCCCTCACGCTGCTCTAACAGAGATTCTGAAGCTCTCCCCAGAATTCAAGACTAGTTTAATTTCATAATTAGAGTCCTGTCTCTTTCCGATTCTTCCACCCTCATTTTGAGGCTGTTGCCTAGATTGGCTGGTCTGTATTGCTTCTGCCCCAGCATCCCAAGTACAGAGATCACATGCTTGGGTCACCCCGATTTATTATGTACCATGTCCGTAGGTCCACACCTGCCACCTTTAGCAGCTTTTATTTCCGTTTTCTTTTTTCTTTTTAACCTCCAGGGCTGAGGCTCTTCTAGATATTTCCAGAAGGCCTCTGTACCACACCCAGGTCTTCTTAAGTACCTCTTGTTGTCTGTCAGTACAAGCCCACTGCCCTATACCCATCTGTTGTTTAAAGGTAGACAGAAATAACAAGGCATTTGGGAGGGTCAAGACCCCAGATGCAAATTCCTCGGCACGTAAGTCAACCTTAGTGTACTGTATGAGTTAGGTTTCTTCTAAGAGTGGTCCTACATACACCAGCACTGTTAGCGAACGGCCTGCGGTGCTAGTTTCTTTCACTGCGGTACTGGATTCTAACACGTTACTCAGAAAGAGACTGCTGTATTGTCGAGACTATGAGCCCCGGTTCAACCAGCACCTGGTGCTCATCTGTGTGAGATCCTTCATACTGTGCATAATCCCTGAGCCTGTAAGTACCAGCTCCCACCGAGGAGGTCCTGCAAGCTCACCAATCCCACCCTTTGCCCTGCCCCCCACCAAGGAAAACAGGTACACCCCATTCCCTACTCAATAAGACACTGTGTAGAAATAATACTGTACCCACTCCAATGCAGCAAAATGTTATTCCAAACCAGACTTGAACAAAAGACCAACACTTACATGAAATTCTCATGCTTTAATCAATACAGAAAGGAGAAAACCCTTTACTCTGAAAACCAGTGCTCTGGGATATATTTTCAAAGTCCTGACTGAATCAGAGTCAGGCATGGAATGATCAAAGGTCAGATCTTTTTATTTCATGTAAACTGTAGTCACACAGAGAGGGTTTCACCCTGTTTGCTGTGTAAGACCAAAGTGACTTAGGGCCAAGTTAAACTTCTGCCCTTATATGGTCAAGAAAGGGGAAAAAAAAACACAAGGACGGCATTAGGGGCACTCCCATGGATAGCAGATAAACACAGCCTCCTCTATCTGGGCCAAAGCCTGTAATTTGTGAGGCATGTCTGTGTAGCGAGAGGGAACAGAGCAAGGTACTGAGGTGCCTTTCCTGTGACTGCATGGGAAAGTGGGAACCAGAGTATCTTCAGTCATAGCCAGTCTACAAGTGCCAAGGCAAGCACAGAGCAAGCTTAGTTTCCTGGTTCCAGAAGACGCAGCCAGTGCTGAAAGGGCTGGGAATTTTTGAAAATTGGTTACTTCCCATGATTAATAAAGTTAGCCATTAAGAAACTGCCTGCAATTCTGGGTCTCCTCATCTGTTAGGTTTCTACCCAGAAAGCTGGAAGGCGAATTGCCTTTTTTCTACTTTAAACACACACCCCAGCACCCCACAAAACCCTTAAGTCACAAGACCCAGAGTCAAGTATTACATCAAGTAAAGCAATTTCATTCCAAGATTCTGAAGGGCCCACACACCTTGGGAAAACAAATGAGAAGGAAGTGATACCTGCTTTTCCAAGGTACATACCAGTTTAGTAGAGCCCATTAAGCCTGCCTCAATCTCTCAGAACCTGAACCCGGGCCAACTCTACAGTGAAATATTTTTTGCAGTGGCTCATGGTTTTGCCACTAAACCTTAATCTTTGCTGCCAAGAGAAACTGTTGCTGCTAGCTTAACTCACAGCCTAAGCCTTACCTAATAACTACCTAAATTACCTCCATCCGTATGCACGTTCCAGGTTTAAAAGTCATGAGTAACCAGCAATTTGCAAGTGTCTCACCAGTGGTCAGACTCAGTCTCTAAGTTACTATGGAGTCCTGACCAATC